CAGGGGGTCCTCAGCCCGGCTCGGCGCCTCGTAACCTGGCGACCCACCCCCAGCAGCTCGGCCCAGCCATGGCGGCCCCCCGCCCGCCTCCCGCGATCTCGGTCTCGGTCTCGGCTCCGGCTTTTTACGCCCCGCAGAAGAAGTTCGGCCCTGTGGTGGCCCCCAAACCCAAAGTGAATCCGTTCCGGCCCGGGGACGGCGAGCCTCCCCCAGCAGCCGGGGCCCAGCGCGCACAGATGGGCCGTGTGGGGGAGATCCCCCCGCCGCCCCCGGAAGGTAGGCGGCTGGGCTTGGGGGTGGGACCCCGGCGGACGCCGGGCCGGGGGGCAGTGGTCTCGGGAATTTGGAGGTTGTCTAGAAAGATTGTTACGGAGGGGGCTGGGCGCAGCCACCCTGTCCCGAGCAGATGTTCTTACCTCATCGTGGAGCTCGTGGCTGGAAGCCAGGGCTCCTGGGACTGTTCCAAGTCCCCCGCCTGGGGGTGGGAGGCTGGAATGTGGGCCACGAATCGTCTCCTCTGGGTCCGTTTTCCGATGTGTAGCGGGAGCTGCACCACCCCTCCGCCGTGTTCCGGCCTTTCCTGACCCCCGGCTCTCAGGGCGTCCTGCACCCCTCCTTTCCTTCCCCACATGCACCGAGACCCCCGAAAGAGTGCTTGGGTTACGGGTCACAGCTGCAGACCGAGAGCAACTTGAGGGAGGGATAAGGGGGTCCCTGCCGACGGCCCGCTCTCTCCTTCCTACCCCAGACTTTCCTTTACCCCCGCCTCCCGTCGTTGGGGATGGTGACGACACGGAGGGCACTCTGGGAGCTGCCTTCCCACCGCCCCCTCCCCCGATCGAGGAACCATTCCCTCCTGCACCTCTGGAGGAGGAGATCTTCCCTTCCCCACCGCCTCCGCTGGAGTTGGAGGGAGGGCCTGAGGCCCACATACCGCTCCCACCGCAGGTATGGAGGCCTGGGAGGGGCAGGGGCATGAAACACCCCTATGGAAAGGAGAGGAGGGGTCCTTCTTACCTCGCTTGGACCTCTGTCCTATTGGGGTGGGAGGAAGGGATGGAGGTCTGGGATGGGTGCTCTGACCCCCGACCCTCTAGCCCAGGGAGAAGGTGAGCAGTATCGACTTGGAGATCGACTCTCTGTCCTCACTGCTGGATGACATGACCAAGAATGATCCCTTCAAAGCCCGGGTAAGAAAGGGACAGTGGAAGCGGGCCTAGGGTAGTAGAGGCTGGGGGTGGAACTATGGAGGTCTGGGTCCTCCCCTGACTGTACTTCCCTCCACCACCCCTTGCAGGTGTCATCTGGATATGTACCCCCACCCGTGGCCACTCCATTTGTTCCCAAGACTAGTACTAAGCCTGCAGCTACGGGCACAGCCCCCCTGCCTCCTTGGAAGGCCCCTTCCAGCTCCCAGCCTCTGCCCCAGGCACCAACTCAGCCTCAGAGCCAGACACAGATCCATGTTCAGCCCCAGCCCCATGTCCAGCCCCAGGCCAAGCCTCAGGTCCAGTTCCATGTCCAGGCTCAGCCCCAGCCTCTGTCTTTGGCTAACACCCAACCCCGAGGTCCCCCAGCCCCATCTTCTGCTCCAGCCCCTAAGTTTTCTCCACTGACTTCTAAGTTTACTCCTGTGGCTTCCAAGTTCAGTGCTGGAGCCCCAGGTGCACCAGGGTCACAGCCCAGTCAAAAACCGAGGCCCTCCGAAGCCCCCTCTTCTACTGGCACAGTCTCTCCTCAACCTGCCAGCTTCACCTATGCTCAGCAGAAGGAAAAGCCCCAAGTGCAGGAGAAGCAACACCCAGTGCCCCCACCAGCTCAAAACCAAAACCAGGTGAGGGACGGTGGTAGGATAAGTAAGTCTGAGGCCAGTCTGGGGCAGGGCTAAGTCAGTAGGCAGAGAACAGGCTGAAGGTGACCCTGAGAGTCAGGGTGGGCATGAGGGTGGTGAGATAAGCATGTTTATCCTGTGGGGTTAGACTGGTGGACAATGGTGAGAGAAAGCTCCTCTAGAGGAGGGGCCCGGGCAGATCTGGGACTGGGTGGGGCCTAACTGGGGGTGAGCAGAGCAGCACAGGCCCTGAATTAAGAGGATTTGGAGGAACTTTCCTTGTGCCTCTGCCCCAGTATGTTAAAACGGAGGGATGAGATCATCAGTCCAACCTGGTTTTTCCCATTCTAGGGTCCTGAGTTTATCTTTCCATTCCTTTGAACACTTGCACTGCCCAAGGGCCCATCTGGAGATAAGAGTCAGCCCCAGTAAACACTGGCTGAGCCCGCATCACTGCATGCCAGGCACTGTGCTCTGTGTTTTGAGGCTAGGACATGGGAGGGAAGAGATCTCTCCAAGAGGCGTGGCCCTTCAGGAGAGGATGGACCTAGGATAGAATTCCTGGGTTGGCGTCTCACGAGTCATTAGACTCTGGGAAAGTTAGGTGCACTTTGAGCCTCAGTTTCTTTATCTGTACAATAAAACCATCTGCTCCATGCAAGGGTTGTAAAGATTTAAGTGAGCCAGTGCCCAGAAAGTGCTGGATTCTATGTCTAGCACATAAGTGCTCAAAATAGAAAAGCTATAACTACAAAACAGTTCTAGCCTTCTGGTTCAGGAGATGAGATCTTCCAAGTTCAAGGGATCCTGATGGTCATCTAGTCCAACTGTCTATAGAATTCATTGAAAGTGTGGCTGTTTGTGTATACTCGGACACAATAGAGGAAGAAATGCCAGGGTCCTGTAAGCTTTGTAGAGTCCTGTAATAGGCACTCAGAACAGGGAGTCAGCTTGGAGCCTGGCGAGTTAGGAGAGGCTTCATGGAGTTGGTATCAAGCCTTGCAGGACAGGCTGAACTTAAGAACTGAGAGAGGAAAGGGAAAGGCATTCCGGTGGGAATAACTTGAGCAGAACTCAAGGGCACACATTCACAAGGGGTGTTTGGAGAATAGAAAGGGGAAGGTTCCTGTGGGAAGATTATAGAGGTACACTGAGAGTGGTAGGTGGGGGTTGGAGGGAGTAGGAAATGAAATGGCACACCCAGGGAACTTGTGAGTGTCATGGAGTCAATTCTTGAGTAGTCAGGAAAAGCAGTGCTTTCGGAAGCCTTCTGGAAAGTTTTTCCAATAGCGATGGTGTATTCAAGGTTGGGAGGTCAGTGATGTGTGTGAGTTTACTCCTGGGTAATATTGGTTGCAATGAAAAATAAGAGCTGCATGAGAGAGCTGTCAGAAAGGAAAGGCCTCCCAAGACTCAGGACTGATAAGCAACTGGAAAAGGAGGGGGAAGGGGAAGAGTTAAAAAACAACAACAAAAAGCTCAGGAAGGTTTGGAGCCTGGGTGTGTTGGGAAATGGCAGTACTGCTGACAAAATAGAGAAGTCCAGAAGGGGAAATGATTTGGACGGGAAGAGGAGGGGTCCAGCTGTCAACATGTTGAGCAACAGGTTCCAGGAAGACTTTCAGCTGGGACCGTCATTCAGTTAGAAATAAAGGTCGGGATTTCGAGTGATGGCTGAACCAGAGGTGTCCAGCATGGTAGAGGTGCCCGGTGTGGAGCAGGTGTCCAGTGTGATAGAGGTGTCTAGTGTGGTAGAGGTGTCTAGCATGGTGGTCAGGTCCAGCGGCACTGAAGGCTAGAAGCTGAGGCGCTTCCTGGGGAGTACAGAGATAGCAGAACCAGAGGGAAAAAGCTCCAGTGTGGGTGTGGGGGGTAGGGGGGTGGGTTGAGGAGGACGAGGACTGAAATCAGGCCAGAGATTTTACCGTTAGAAATTTGTACATGGTCTTGGTGTGGTCCGTTTGTACCCTGTGGTGGGGACAGAATGTAAGGCCTTGAGAAGTGAGTGGGTGGTGAGAAGTGGAGTTGCTGGTGTAGCCTGATCTCCAAGGCTGACGGGGAAAGCAAGGACTAAAGAAAGGGCTGTGTGCATGGGGAATATGTGTGTATACATGTGTATGTATGTGATTGTGTGTGTGTGGGTATGAATGTGTGAGTGGTATGTAAGTGTGTATTTATGTATGTGTGAGTGGTGTGTGCATTTGTGCATGGATATGCATGCGTGTGAGTGTGGTGTATGTGTGAGTTTTCCAAGTTGCAGGAGAAGGGTAAAGTTATGTGTGTAACCAGGAAGAGGAAGCCAGTGGAGGAGGGTGAGAGCAGGGATCAGGGACTGTTGTGGGCTGAGCCCTGGAGGATAGCTTGATATCGTCCCCTCCTGCCCTCTCCATCCAGAGACATTCTGGAAAGCAAGGACAGGGTGACAGTAGTGATTGCTGTGTAGAGAGAGGACGATGAGGGAGCCGAAACTGGCCAGCTTGCATGCTCTCAGCCATGGAGGGTTGAGATCCTAGGTGCAAGCAAGGTGGGAAGCAGGTAGGGGCTCAGGAGATGGAAAGGGTTGGAACAGCTGCTATGGGGAAGGCAATTGGGAATCTGGAGCCAGCAGCAGATAGCGAGCTGGACTGGAGGGCGCTGCGGTGTTGTGAGCTCACGCTGCAGTGTTAGTGATCTCCCTGCTGCAGCTTGCAGGCAGAAATAGGAAGTGGGTGGCGGTGTGACTTGGGGTTGCAGTTTGGGCCAGAAAGCTGCGGTTGGCTGTGGGTGGCAGGAGAGACAGTGAGAGCCTTGCAGGAGTGAATGGTCAAGGGGCCAGACTGGGGTCTTAGTGGACAAGGCCTGTGGGGTGAGCTGAGAGTTAGGGGAACTGAAGATATTCCAAATAGGTTCACTTAGTGCGTATGAATGAGGAAAAGGTAGGTGTGGTTGGGAAGGAACCTGGAGGTAAATCTTAGGCCCAGGGTGTTTTGCAACGGAAGGTGACTAAGATGGAAGGCCGTTTGGTCTGAGTACCACGGATATTGAAGCAGTGATATCGGTACTGGCCACAGAGGGTACAGTGCTGGACAGAGTGTCCTGAAGGACACGGGTGTCCTTGGGGAGGTGATACATATGAAGATTTTATGCTTCCAAAGAACAGACTAGGCCTTTAAAGTGGCACCAGAGACCAAGGACTGGCAAAGACATTCCCTCTGTCCCCAAGATGCCAGGAAGGGAAGACTGGAATAGGAAGGTTAAGCTTGCATTCCAGGGACACACATCATTTATGGGTAGGAGACGGCAGATCTTAAGGGAAAGTGGCTGAGATCTGGGCAGTCAGATTCCTGTGGACCTGTGTCTTACTGCAGAACAGGCATGGCTCTGAATGCAGACATTGTGGGGAATGGAGCCACGGCTGAAGGGAGAGGGATCTTGAGAGGAGATAGCGGGGAGGCTTTGGTGGTTCCTAGCATTATGGAAATGAAGACATCCTCAGGTAGAATGCTCAGTTGATGGGGCCTCTGTCCTGGGTAGACTTCTCCAGTCAGAGCAGACCCATTCAGTGTTCCTATGGGAGTGTCTCCTGAAAACACTGGTACAGGTCAGACACCCTACCCCCACCCCTGGAGTTCTCAGGGTTACCTGCCACGTACTGTCCCTAACCTCCATCCCCACAGCCAATCTCCAGTGCTCAGGATCTTCTAAATGGGAGGAGTGGGCTGGCCTAGGGAGTGGCCTTTGGACATTCTCTGAGGCCTGCTGGGGAGGGAGCGGGTCAGGTAGTCCCGAAGCCTCTCACTCAGGGAAGACCCTAGGATCTCTGTGTGGGGTCTGGGGGCTGGGGCTGGACTCCTGCAGATAACTCTGGGGGTTTAACCTGTGATTCCCGCCTGTGTTATATCTTCACGCTGACAGGGGCTGCTCAGCAGCAGGCGGGCCGGGTAGGTGTGTGTGCGCGTGTGATGCCATTGCGTGCCCCTTTCCCATGGGGGCGATGTCCAAGCATGCTCTGTGGAGTTGGCGCGTGGCCCTGGCGTGTCCGGTGCTTCCGTGACCTGAGCTGCTGTGTGCGTGGCCTCTGTTTGCTTAGTCGTTCTGGCCTGTCTGTGACTGCTCAGGGGGGTTTGGGCAAAGTGGGTGGAAATGTCTCACTGTGCGAGATCCAGGCTGAGGTCACCTCCTTTCCCAGTGTTATTTGTGTAGTGTGGGGAGGGAGGGCTAGGGTAGGGAGGGAAAAGGAGGAGCTTTAAGGGTCAAACCTGAGCATCTGGGAAACAAGCCAGGAGCTAAGTCCTCATTAGAAGAAATGGGGTAAGCTGGCCTGGAAGGGTTTTGGAGGGAGGGTTTTGGAGGGAGGGTGAAGAAAGTGTTGGGGTTTCAGGTGCGCTCCCCTGGGGTCCCAGGACCCCTGACTCTGAAAGAGGTGGAAGAGCTGGAGCAGCTGACCCAGCAGCTAATGCAGGACATGGAGCATCCTCAGAGGCAGAACGTGGCTGTCAATGGTGAGCCCATTGCCCACTCCATTAAGGACATCTGCCCCCACATCACTGGGGGCCTGAGCTGGCTGACTTCTCACAAGCATACATCTTTTCTTCCATTTTTTTGCTGTCTTCTCTGGCCTCCCCAGAACTCTGCGGCCGGTGCCATCAGCCCTTGGCCCGTGCACAGCCTGCCGTCCGTGCGCTGGGGCAGCTGTTCCACATCACCTGTTTTACCTGCCACCAGTGTGCACAGCAGCTGCAGGGACAGCAGTTCTACAGCCTGGAGGGGGCGCCGTACTGTGAGAGCTGCTATACTGTGAGTCTGGCTGGCTGGGCAGGCAGGCCAGAAGCTGGCTGTGGAGTGCTGGTTCCCTGCTGACTTTCTGTGCCTCCTCAGGACACTCTGGAGAAGTGCAACACCTGCGGGCAGCCCATCACCGACCGCATGTTGAGGGCTACTGGCAAGGCCTACCACCCACAGTGCTTCACCTGTGTCATCTGCGCCTGCCCCTTGGAGGGCACATCCTTCATTGTGGACCAGGCCAACCGACCCCACTGCGTCCCTGACTACCACAAGTGAGGTCCTACCCACTTGCTTTCTGGCCTCTTTGGGTCCCTTCCATCCTTGGTCTGGTAGTCAGGCTGCCACCCTGGCCCCAGGACAGCCGCAGAGTCTTGCTTTCTGGCCCCACAACTGATATGTAGACTGCAGGGACCGAGTCATGTGGATTTAGCTGTCCGTTGGCCTTAGGCCTGAGTAGCGAGTCCTGTTGCTGTCCTGTCCCATCCTAGCCCTTGAGTCCAAGGCTTACTTTAAATGTGTCTGGTGTTTAGCAACACATGCTGGAGTGAATTCGTTTTACCCACAGGCTGGGTTCTAAGTTCTTTTAGAGATCAGTTCCTTGGAACACTGGTTTCTCCTCAGAAACTGTGTGGACAAGGTGGCTACTTTCTTGGGCGGGTTAGCAAAATCACACAATGTAGTTAATGGGCTGTGGGAAAACTGTAGACTGACCCCCACCTCTGATGGTGCATTTGCAGTGTACAATTTGAGGATTCCATCTGGGGTGGCCAGGACTTTGCATCCCTTTGCACTGTCTGGTGGTCAGGGCAGAAGCATCCCATGTGGGAGTTGAGGGATGAGAGGATCAGGACCTAGGATAGGGTGGGAGGGTGTTTTGGGGTGTGCTGTCTACAGAAGCTGCAGTGAGGGCAGGGTATGGATCTAGTGGGAGAGAACCCTGTGACAGATGTGCAGAAGGAAGGGGCTTTGGGAGAGTAGGAAAATTCCCTGGATGAGGGCATGCTGTGGTAGCTGGGTCTTTAGGCCTTTCTGGTGAGCTTCCTCCTCCCAGAGATGTGGGCCTAAGAAAGCTGCCTTGTTGCTGCATAACCTCCATCTTATCACCCTGTGCTCTGATAGGGGGGATGAAAGCCCAGGTGCCCTGCACTAACTCTGCCCCCCTTTCTGTCTCCCCAGGCAGTATGCCCCGAGGTGCTCCGTCTGTGCAGAGCCCATCATGCCCGAGCCTGGCCGTGACGAGACTGTACGAGTGGTTGCTCTGGACAAGAACTTCCACATGAAGTGTTACAAGTGTGAGGTCAGTTGTCCCTCAGAGCTCCTTGGGCTGGCTCTGGCCAGGAGGTGCTAGGAGTCCCTGCTCACTAAGCAGGTGGTAGAAAGTATCAGCATGCAGGAAGCAGGGCTGTGGAGGGTGGCCTGTGGCAGCACCCACACCCGCCCTGCCCAGATGCTTCCTGTGGCTGCAGAAGAGGGTGGGGTCACTTTGAGTTGTAGATAAACCAAGAAAGGGGAGGGAAGGGCATTGTGTTTTATTTGGTTCACGCTTGTAGTTTGTAATCCCAGCACTTCAGGAGGCTGAGGTGGGAGGATTGCTTAAGCCCAGGAATTGGAGCCTGGGCAACATAGTGAGATTTTGTCTCTATAAAAAAATTATCAGGGCGTGGTGGCGCATGCCTGTAGTCTCAGCTACTTGGGAAGCTGAGGCTAGAGGATCACTTGAGCCCAGGAGATTAAGGCTGCGGTAGCCACTGATTGTGCCACTGCCCTCCAGCTTGAGTGACAGAGTGAGACTCTGACTCAAAAAGAAAAAAAATGGCTCTAACCACTACCAGACTTCTTATAGGAAAGACCTAGTGGGTAATTGGAAGTGGGAGAGGGATGGTGGGATAACAAGGACACCAGTTCTGGGCCATGAAGCATCTGACCTTCCTAACTCCAAGAGGGTGGGGTGGAGCAGGGCCTTCCTGGCTAGTGTCCCTCTCATCCCTCCTTCCTTCTTCCCAGGACTGTGGGAAGCCCCTGTCAATTGAAGCTGATGACAACGGTTGCTTTCCCTTGGACGGCCACGTGCTTTGTCGGAAGTGCCACACTGTTAGAGCCCAGACCTGAATGAGGACTGGCCCGCCCCTTCCGGACTGCACGTCCATGCCCCGTGTTGGACCACCCACACTGAGACCAACCGTCCCCCACCCTCCTGCCCGCTCACCCGCCCACCGTTATTTTTGTCTAGCTCCTCCCTTCAATCCAAACCCCACCCCAGCATCCCAGGTGCCCTGGCCCAGGATCCTGACATGGCCAAGGGATGCAGAGTCCCAGCCCTGGGGTCTAGTCCTCACCCGTCCTGCAGGGACTGCCCACCGTCCTCCAGGTACCCCACCCGAGGGGGGGGCACCAGGTTTAGTGCTGCTGCTTTCACTGCTGCACCCACGCCCTCGGACGGCCCCTGAGCAGCCTCTGTACTCTGCTTGCTGAGGGCCAGGAGCCTGGGCTGACCGGCCTGGACATTCCCACCCTCCCCCATGCTGCCAGGTTGTGGCTACAGCTACAAATAAAAAAAAACAAAAAAAAAAACCTCGTTTTCCAGAATTCTCAGGAGTCGACTCTTGTAGTGGGATAGAGGGATAAAAGTCCTGGTAGGGGTCAAAACTCATTTCCTGTTTATTTACAAAAATATATATGTATATGTATGTATATATATTAAACCCTCCCCAACTCCTTCCCATGATCACCTTTTTACTTCTACCCCACCTCCCTTTTAAAAACAAAGAGGCTTGCAGGGTGCAGAGGCAGGATCCTCCTGAAGGTCAGCAGGAGCAGCACCAATAACCTATGTGTGGTAGGTCCAGGGAAGGGGGTGCAGGTGAATGGCCTTGAACGACCATGGCCCCATCCTTGCTCCCTGCAAAGGGGCTTGGGGTGAGGGAAGGCCTCAAGGGTGTCACCCTCAGCAGCTGCTCAGTCCTTGAATCCCTGAATACTGCAAAGAATGCGCTTCTGGTGCCCAGACAGTGTGATTCCCATCTGTGTCAGGTCCCTGTGGACAAGGAAGGGGCAGCATGAGTCAAGAGGCCCCACCCTGCAGCCCTCCCATGCCCCTGCAGCTCCTCATCCTCACTCGGCCGTCAGATCCAGCACACACTCCATGGTGTCCAGCCCTGCCGAGCGGAAGTGCAGGATGTAGCGTTTCATCCGGATGGACTCGAGCCATTCAGAGACGCTTCGATAAGGGATCCCGTCTGAGCCACTCAGGCTGGGCAGGCGAAGAGTCACCCTGTGGGATACGGGCTGCGTCAGTCACTCGAGGGTGCAGGGGCTGATCTGCCTCAGCATTTGCAGCTGGATGTCTGGGCATAGAGGTCATTTGGACTTTGTGGATTAGCCCGGCCATTGTCTGTAAGCCCACTTCTGGCCTGTTTCTCTTGTGTGCGCACAGCAGTGGGAGGGCTGACGGTCCTGCTACATCCACAAACCTAGGGGAAAGGGCTGCTCTGGGAGTCCCAACAGAAGATCACCAGCCCGTCTCCCAATGGAGTAGCCAGTTCTGGGCACCTGGCTGGGTGCTGGCTAAGACATGACGGTCCCACCAGCTGAGAGGAAGCGGAAGACAAAACAGAGGCCCTGGCTGTTGGTCCTGCGTCGGCTGCCTGAGTTCTGGGAGCAGCCCCTGCTCACCACCTTCAGCCTCGGCTGTTATTCTTGCACTCTGACACCCACAACACAATGAGTGTTCCTGTACTAAAGTCAGCCAGAGCCAAAAACCATTAGCAAAGTAAATCTGCTGGGGGGAAAATATCCAGCATTCCAGAAAGATTAGCACATGCAGTCTCCAGTGTACGAGGGAGTTGTGCTCCAAAAGATAGTTTCAAAAGTTGGAACTTGGAACACATTTTCTCCCAGAAACAAGGTTATATATGGTGCTTGGATACAGAGGCCAGTCTGCCAGGCTGGCTACCCGATAAAGCACTTGAAGGTCAGCCTTGCCTGTCTCTCCCATCTTGCCCCCTCCCATCTGTTCACTCTACATTCAGGCCATGTTTTTGGTAAAATGCAGTTCTGACCATGTCCCTCCCGTGGGTAGTTTAAAACATTGGTTCTCTGCCTTCCGGATAACGTCCACATTTCTCAACAGGGCTGGTCTTTGCTTTGACTCCTGCTGTCTCCCCAGCTTCACAGCCGCTGTCCCCAAACTAGAGGCTGCCATCATCCTGCACTGTCTGCAATCTGCCAGCCCTCAACTTTCCTCAGGCAGGTTATGTGAATGGGGAGCCTTCTCAAATCTCCTGAGACTGACCTTGCCTCCCCCACCTCAACCTGGCTGCCAGAGCTCCCTGGAGCAGATACCAGGTCACAAGTACAGTTTTATCTCCAGTGTTCAAAGAGCTTGCACAAGTAGGTCCTGCAAAAACTTGCTGAATGAATGACTCTTTGCTCCACAATCAGAAATATGTCTATGGGGAAGGAGATGCATCCCAAGTTTCTCAGACTTGGCCACAGTACAATGCAGTGGGACTGGCAAGAACGGCTCCAGGGAGGGTCCCAGCTTAGGCAGCCTGGGAAGGAAAAGGATGGGGTCCCCAGCCCAGGTGAAGTTAGGGAATTGGAACTTAGCTGTAATCAATTTTCTGCAAATGCGAGGAATCCAGAGCGGACCACGTGGACTCTAACTGTGGTCTTGCCTCATATGCTGGACTTTGTCCAGAGCTCCTCAGGCCCAGGACTCAGAGGATGTGGCTGAATACTCATTTCCATTCTCCCAGAACTGCCCTCCCAATTCTGTAGTCCTTCCCCAGCTTGGTTACCTGGGGTCAAAGTTAGCGATGGTCCGTAGGGAGTGGGGGTTGGCGAGCAGTTGCTCCAGATGTGCCCGCAGCTTGTGGAAGTGGGGCCGGCGGGCACGGTCATATGCCCAGCAGTTCTTCATAAGCTCATACAGCGGGGCTGGGCAGTCCACGGGAGGAGGTAGCCGGTACCCGTCCTCAATGCTCTTCATGACCTGTGGTGGGGGACAGGGAGGACACCCTAAGATAAGAAGCTGACCTGGAGGCCCAAGAGAAACCTGTGTTCACACAAGATCATTGCAATGTAGTCCTAAGCAGCCCTGACTAAAGAGATGAGTAAAGAGATGAGGTGAGGGGAGCAGAGGAGACAGAAGTGCAAAAAAAAAAAAAAATACCTTGACTCAGGAAGAAGTAAGGATATTTGCCAGGGGAGGAAAACGGAAGAGGCTATGGGAGGCTTTTGGGAGATAAGAGGTGTGAGGTAGGGATAACATGGAAAGGACTATTCTGGGCTCACCTCCTGATTGCTCATCTCCCCATAGGGCTTGTCCCCAAAGCTCAGCACCTCCCACATCACAATCCCAAAGCTCCACACGTCGCTGGCTGTAGTGAAGATCCGATGGGCAATGGCTTCAGGGGCTGTCCAGCGGATGGGGATCTTTCCTCCCTGAGAAGGCATGTGGGATGGGGATAGGGAGTTGTTGTGTCCACATGAGCATGAGTACTCATGCTTGTGCTCTGTGAATGGCACGGCATGGTGCATGTGAATGCACATGCAGTGTGTACAGGGCTCTAACCTGGGTTTCGTAGGTGCCGTCAAAGTCATCCAGGAGGCGAGTCAGGCCAAAGTCAGATACCTTGCAGCATAGGTTCTGACTCACCAAGATGTTCCTGGCGGCCAGGTCCCGGTGGACATAACTGTGCTCACTGAGGTAGTTCATGCCAGACGCTATGCCCTGCAGCATGGCCACCAGCTGCCCAGGGACCAGCTGGTCCTCCCGCTCCTGCAGCAGGGTGAGAGGGTGAATCAGGGTATAGACAGGGCCTCTCCCAATGCCCAGGGTTTCACAGTGCACCCCATTCCACTGGTCTTCTGCCCTCCTCACCCTCAGGAAGGCGTCCAGGGCTCCGTTCTCCATAAACTCTGTGATGATCATGATAGGCTTTCCTGAGACACAGAGCACACGTCAGCAGGCCCAGAACTGGGTTTCCTGTCCTAGATAGCACATCCTCTACTTCTGGCAGCCTTACCCCTTCCTGCTCCATTGCTCTCCCATCCTCCCACTCAGGGAGCCCACCCCTCATACTTTTTGTGACAACGCCTTCCAGATGCAGAATGTGTGGGTGGTTGAACTGGCCCATGATAGTTGCCTCTCGGAGGAAGTTCCACCACTGGCCATCTGGGGACGTGTCTTTCAAAGTCTTAATGGCCACAGTCTTGTAGTCCTGACTGGGGAGTCTCAGGGTCCCTCGATACACTTCCCCAAACTCTCCTAGGTAGAAAAAAACAGGTTGTGGCCTGATGCAGGTGCCCCCAGGGGACAAACAGCAACCCCCTCCAGCCCCTTTTCCTTCTCTGGAGGATCAAAAGCATGGAGTGCCCTTTCTGGGACAGGGCTTGGACTGGCCTTAGTCGGGAACTGGAGAGCAACTCTGTGACCTGTTTCCCACTGTCTTGCAGTGTTAGTCTAGTTCTTGGCTTGCAGCAGGTGCTCAGGAAATGCGGGGTGAGTGAGTCCTGTGCCGTGGGATTGAGGAGAGTTCATGAAGGGCAGGCCAGTCTGGAGCTAGTGCCTAAGAGATGGGGGAAGCTGCCTCTCTTCCATGAGCTCCTCCGGTCACGGCTCGGCCAGCTCGGCCACACAACAGGCAAGGACACTGCCAAGCTTTGTTCTCCGCTCAGATCCATTTCCTCTGGTGACCCAGGGGATCGGGGCAGCCCAAGGACACTGGGCCCCTGATGGGGTGGAATGCTGGGCTAGGTATGGAATTGCTCCCACATTTTGGAACCATCAGAGAATAGCCTGGCCCTCAGCAAAGCAACACATCTATAGATAAGGATAATGTGTTTAACACTCTATATCAGGAACTCCAAAACCACAGAAGCAAGTGTGTAGGAGGTAGGGGCTGCTCCAGGGCATCTGATGAGTGGTTTTTAACATGAACACAACAGTTCAAAGAGGATATAGGGAACAGCAGAGAGATCGCATCTGGAAATTCTTGGGCCAGAGGAGAGGCCAGCTGGACTTCCCAGGGAAGGTCCGGAAGGAAGGGGCCTGTTGGCGGCTCTATGCTGCCCCACAGAGGGAGCTGGCTGTGGTGTGCAGCAGAACTTACCTTCCCCTATGACAGTGTCCACCATCAGCCAGGCTGGATCAAGCTCCTGGGTGAAGTCCAGGGCTCCCTGCGCAGGGTCCTCATATGCCTGGAGGTCCACGTAGGGCTTCAGCCACAGCTTGTCCTCTGTGGGGAGACCAGGATTGGGGTCTCAGTCACAAAATTACTGACTTCAGGGCTCAGGAATATTGGGGGGAGGTGAGGAGGAAGGGACCAGCAACAGACCCTACATCTCCTATTCTCTGAGGTGATGCCCATTTTGGCTGAAATGGAAGTAAGTCCCTCTCCTTAGCCACTAAGCTTTCCTTCTCCCTGTCTATGCTCCTGTCCTCATGCCGCAAGAGCCAGAGCCCACACCCAAAGAGCACATGTACTGCCTCGGGTTGCCCAATCTTTCTAGTGTCTAATCCTGTCCTTCCTCTTTACCCCTGGTCCCTACACCCCTCCGGTCAGTCACACATTCCTAGATGAAGGCTCACTTTGCTCTTGCCCCACTTGGATGGACCACTCACTCTCCCTTTTGTGAGGCATTTAATGAGGTGACAAGCAGGAAATCCACATGCCTCAGAGGACATCAATCCCCCTCCTGCCTAGCCTCAGCCTGCAGACCTAGCGTCAGGATAGGGAAGGCTGCCCAGAGCCTGGGGGTGGCGAGACGGCAGCACCAGCAGCTAACAGATAATTGCATCAGAGCCACTGGGGGCTATCAGTACAGAGTTAATTAACCAAAAAGTTAATTAGGTAGCAAAACACAAGAGCCCCAGGACAATAAATTCCACTTGCATCCCCCAGAATTGGACTACCAAATGTGGGTCCCTTGGTCCCTTCCCAGGGACAACTCCCAATACACACATACACAGACACACACACAGACACACACACAGAGACATACACACACACACACACACACACACGTGCACACAGCTCACCTCGATCTACATCAGTGACATGATCACGCTGCCTCTGTTGCCGCTGCCGCCGAGATTTCCTGTTGGGGAACAGGGTTAGGAACCAGCTTCTCCAGGGTCTCAGGGCCACCTCAGGGATCCCATGGGCTCCAGCTAAATTTCCCCCAGATATGACAGGGGGTAGGAGTGCAGGATGGGTGTTAGGACACACCCGAGTTTTGGTACTAGTAGATGGGAGGTCACTGGGCTACAGACAGGGGCTTTTGACTGGGCAAAGGGACCCAGGACTGGGGGATGGTGGGCGGGGGGGCGCGGGAAACAGGAGCCGCCAGCACCTTGAGCGGAAGACAAGAATCCCGAGCAGCAGGGCTATACCAAGCAGCAGCCCAAAGATGACGGCCACAATCTCTCCTCCAGTTAGGCCCCTAGAAACTGCAGGCATAAGAGATGAGGAAGTCTGGGGGCTCATCGTTCATATGGATGAGGAGGGTTAAAGGGGAGGGCCCTGGGTACAGACGAGGTCAGGTCTCTTATGGGCACCAGGTACATATCTACCTCTACACCAGGGACAAGGGGTGTGTGTGCATGTGTGTAGAGAAAGTGGACAGGTCACCCAGTGGAACCGGAGCTGAGGTGCTAAGTGGGATGACAGGGGCATGTGTGCCTGGGACAGAACACAAGATAACCCACCTGGTGGGCTGGTCCGAAACTCATGGTCGGGGGAGAAAGGGCCAGGGCCCAGTGGGGTCAACATGCGGACTCTGACGATGTAGGTGGTGTCTGGCTGCAGTTCTGTCAGCAAGACCCTGGGTTCTAGAACCATCTGGTGCCACTCTTCGTCCTGTGGGTGGGACTTGTGTTATCAGGGATGTACTGAGCCAGAGACCCGGGTAGATTTGAAGGATGTCCTGGGAGAATGTGGGGAGGGGCTGACTAGCAGAATGGTTAGGACGGGGGTCTTTGTAAACTTTTGTCCTAAGAAAGCCACATTGTCTACTTTAGGTAGATTCCTCCCTCCCTGCACCCCTGGCTAGGAATGCTGGGGTGCGCCCAAGCACAGACACCGGAGACCGTCTCTCAGTAGCATCCTGACCTGGTTCAGCACATGCAGCTCGTAGCTCAGGTTTCCCCCGGGACTGCGAGGCCAGGACCTTGCCCAGCTCAGCTCCAGCTGCCTCGGTTCTTTTTTCACCAGCCTCAGAGACAGGCCTGACAGTGACTCTGGGAGTTCGGAGGGATGAAGTGGTATTTGGAAGGAAAGAAGAAATGACCCAAGTAGCTTTTCAATTGCTTTGGCAATTTGTCCCTGTCCCCACCCTACCCAGGCCCCTCACCTGCGTGCCCCATGCTGATGCTGAGTGAGGCGCTTGCAGGACCGGAGCTGCCCAGCCCTGATACTCCATTTAGGGCTTCAACGTTAAAGGTGTAGTTGGCATAAGGTTCCAGGCCATCGACACGCACTGCAGGCAGGGTGAGCCCCTGGTTTCCCGGAGAGAAGCGCACACCTCCCCCACAGGGCTGGCAGGGCCCCCCGTCCTGAGCTGTGCCCTGGCACTGGGAACACCCCACACTGTATCTGACATCCTGGCGTCCCCCCATATCTGCTGGGGGTTCCCAACGCAGGGAGAGCTGAGTCCCCGATGCAGAGAAGCTGAGGTTTTGGGGAACTGAGGGAGGACCTGTGGGAGAAGAGGAGTCATTAGCAGGAGCCTCCTCACTGTCACCCAAGCTGCTGGGGCCCCTTCTCAACCCACCACCCAATCCGTGAAGTCCTCCAAAGTCCATGTGGTAAGATTTGATTCCTATTGAGGAGCATGTGACTTGATCACATCTTTGCATTCTTCTAGGGAGACCAGGGGGCCAGGGCAGGGCCTGAAAGTGCCTGACACCCTGGATCATCTTCTATGTCTGAGCCTTGGGAAACTCTGACCCGATGAGGGCTCAGCTAAGGTCCATCCCCCTCCTCCCAGATGGCCAGGCCTGCCTCCTTGACTCACGTGTGCATGCTACCTGGGGGCCCTCCCCAGAAGCTCTGTAGTGACCGCTTTCACAAGTGCAGATGGTGGCCCCCTTGGACTCGGCTGTGCTGTTCTGGGGACATGTGAGACAATGGAGTGTGTCCATGTCAGTTCGGTAGAAGCCACTGGGGCAGGCTAAAGAGAGAATGCAGCAGAGCTGTGGTTTTCTAATGTTTTTGCAGGTAGAACCACCACTGTCCCTGCCCACCCCTTCCACTGGCAACATCTCTGCATGTGTATCCAGGACTCTGGGATGCTTGGGTTAAAAAAAAAATCACTGAAATGAGGTATCAGCTTCCTTCCCTGCCGTGGCTTCCCCGAGACTCTTCTGAGAAGTACCTTGGGTTCTCACCAACTTCATCCTTACCAACACATTTCTCGCCGCCGCTGCCTTCCTCATAACCAGGCTCACAGTGGCACCGTCCCACCGGCACCAGCCATTCACCATCGGGGTTACAGTGCATGCGGGGTGCACCCAAGGGCCCGGGGCTGGCCCGTGCATGGGGCAGGCAGGTCCCCGCCACTTCCACCAACCCAGTGGGTCCGGGGAGAGTGTCAGGGAATCGGGCCAAGCCGTGCAGGACCTCAGGACAGCGCTGGTAGAAGACCCGGACCGACACCAGGGCCACACAGGCACCGGGGTTGTGGAAAGCCAGGTAGAGGCCGCGGCGAGTCAGGCGGCCCAGGGAGCAGCGCTCCACGTTCAGCTTCATGGAGCCGGAGGCGAGGTCTCGGATGGTGAAGCTCTCGTCTGGGGCCACTGTGGTCACCTGGAAGAAGGTGGGAGAAGAGGGGAGAGATGGCAAAATCCTGCTTCTTTCCCACATAACAGAAACAATTGTTTAATACTTCACAATTACCAACCATGAGCAAAGAGTTAATTACGTGAGGTGCTGGGCTAAGCACTTTGTGTGCATTACACTGGCTAGCCCATGTGATCATCCCACGAGGTAGGATGGCTCCTCATCTCTGTTTAACCGATGATGAAGTTAAGGCTCAGAGAAGTTCAAGACCTTGTGAGACCGCACAGCCTCTATGTGATGGGGCTAGGACTGAAATCCAGCCAGTGGGACTCTCCAGTCCACAACATTTCCATTCTTTGGAGGTGTTCCCAACCCCAGTGCCAATGAAGTGATCAGTTATAGAGTGTGTCACAGTTAATTTATTACTAATAACAAATTTTACAACATTTTCTCGTTGGAAAGAAATGAGAGCACACCCTATCATAAAACACTCCTTACTCTAGCCTCCAGTAGGTTTTCCTGAGGGATGGTATGAGAGTGCTGGCCTGCAAGGAACTGTCTCATTATACAACTCTGGCTATACCCATGGGGATGTGTCACACATGAACAGCACCATTCTAATAGAAAGTCTTCTTCGTTACTCTTCCCTCCTCCACCATGGTGTCCTGTTATCTCAGTGGATGCTGGCAAAAGCCTCTAAAATAGTTAATGCTGGCCCTATTATTGCTATTTTATGACTAGGAAACAGAAGCTTGATGAGGTTAAATGATACCTCTACAGCTGGGACTAAGCAGAAAAGATACTTAAATCCATCTGCAACCTCCTTTTCCTGTCCCTGCCTCTTTCTCTCTTTTTTCTTAGTTGAGTTGGGTCATGGTAAGGGACCAGGCAGAGGTAGTCATCAGGACCGAGATGGCACGGAGGGTAGCAGCACCTTCTGGAACAAGGGCCGCCGGAGCTGAATGCCCACATCCTGGTCACTCTCCATGTACAGAAGGTTGAAAGTCTCTTTGCAGCCCAGAGGCCCGGCTCCCCCAGGAAAACTCTTGCAGTCTCGCACAGTAAACTGCAGCTCCACATGGACACGGGAGGCCTCCTCCCCCCGGTAGATCCAATTGGAGCGAAGCCAGTGGTCAGTGTCTCCACGTTCTTGCAGTGGGCAGTCCTGGTACATGTAAAGGGGTGTCCCATTCAACATCTGCTGCACCTCACTCCACTGCAGGGAGAAAATCAGAGTCAAGGACGAGATCATCACCTGCTCCCCACACCCTTGTGTTTGAGAGCTGATGGAGAAGCAACTAGTGTCACTGGCCACAGGTTCATGCTACTTATCCTGCCTCTCCCCACCCCTCAGCTCCAGGAGAGTAGGTTAAGTGTTTAGGGTCAGGGATTTCTTTGGAGAGAGGATGGGCAAGACAATAGCCCCTTAACATCCTAGCCAGCCCTGGTTCCTTCTGTCCACCTATTCCACCTACAAGAGTGTAAGCACCAATTTTTACCTCTTTCATCAGCAAAGCTGTCAGGTACCCCAAAAGCAAAGTTCAGTCACAAAATCTTTCTGCCTATTTGTTCAGAGAAAAAGAGACTCAGGTTTTAAATATTAAAGCCCCTAAGTTTGGAGGGAAGAACATAGAACTCTCTGTCTAGGGAAATCTCATTGTTTCCAATACTTCTTCCAGTTACAGCCATTATAAAAGTCAACAACTGACAGTTGGCTGGGCTTCTAGGCACTATCTGGTCCATCCCCTCCTTAACCTCTTTTGCATTAAAAGAATTTTTAAACTTAGTAATAATAATGGCTAGCACTAATATAGTGCTTACCACTGCCAGTCACTGTTCTAAGCACTTTCCATGAGGAAACTGAGGCACAGTGATGTCTAGTGACTTGCCAAGGTTCAGCTATAAGAGGCAGAGCTGGGTTGTGAGCCAGGAACTTCAGGACCCAGAGTCCATATTTTTAATCATTATGCCCCTGTGTGCTCGCTGTAAAAAGTCAAAGAGCAAAGACTGACACAGAATAAAAAGTTTAGGTACCTCTCCATCCCAGCCTTCCACCTGTATTCCCTGAGGTTGCCACTCTTAACAATCTGGAGTAAAACTTTCCAGACCATTTTCAATGCCTCCAGAGAAATGTTTGTATGTGTCTGTTTTGCTTTTAACATAAATGAGATCATACAGTATTATTTTGTAACCCATTTTCTGTTTTCACAAATAATAAGTCTTTGAAAGATATGCTCAAATATTTATAGATCTAACTCTATCAACCCATAAATAATTCTCCACTGTATGGACATATTATAACTTATTTACTCATTCACCAATTGTTGGACATTCAGTAGCTTCTAGGTTTTTTTTTTTAAATAAAGAAAATATGTGCAGGCCAGCCATGATGGCTAATGCCAGCAATCCTAGTACTTTGGGAGGCCGAGGTGGAAAGATTGTTTGAGTCCAGGAGTTTGAGACTAGCCCAAGCAACACAGAAAGACCTTGTTTCTACAAAAAAGAAAAAGCAAAATATTCACAAAAATTAGCTGGGCCTGGTGGTATGTGCCTTACAGTCCCAGTTACTTGGAAGGTTGAGGTGGAAGGATCTCCTGAGCCCAGGAGGTTATGTCTGCAATGAGCTATGATGGTGTCACTGTACTCCAGCCTGGGCATCAGAGACCCTGACTCCAAAAAAAAGAAAAGAAAAAAGAAAAAAAAATGTGCAGATAAATGTAGGATTTTTGTAGAGCTGCTACATCAAAGAGTAGATATACTGCAAATTTTATAAGATACTGCCAGATTGTCCTTTAAAAAGCTTTATCAATTTATACTTTCACTATGAATGCAAGAGGGCTCATTTTCTCAAAACCTCATCAACACTGAATATTAATGATCTTTTGACTTTTTGCTCATTATATGGTCAAAATACAGTTTATTATCATTTTAATCTACAGTTCTTGGAAGAGAAGGTTATGCCTTTCTCTTTTGTTCATTGGCTATTTGTATTTTTATCTGTTCATAATTTTTGCCTGATATCCTATTATCTTTCCATTATTCATTTAAATTTTTGTACATGTTTTAGACATTAATCATTTGCTCGAAATTTATGTTTCAAATATTTTCTCCCATCTGCCTTCCCTCTTAACTTTGCTAATGGTGACTTTGATGTGGACACACACTGTACATTTTTATAATCTTTCCTTTTATAATTTCTGGGTTGTATATTTTGCTTGGGAAGCTTTCCCATCCTAAGATTATAAAGATCTAGTTTTTCTCCTAAAATTTTTATAGGTTTGGTTTTTAGGTTTAATCTCCCTAGAATTTATTTATTTTTGTGTACAATGTGAAGTGGAGATATATTTTTACTTTTTAAAAAAAATTATGGCTGGGTGTGGTGACTCACACCTATAATCCCAGCACTTTGGGAGGCTGAGGTGAGAGGACTGCCTGAGCCCATGGGTTTGAGACCAGCCTGAGCAACTCGGTGAGACCTCAACTCTACAATAAATAAAAAAAAAATTAGCCAGGCAAGGTGGCGTGTGCCTGTAGTTCCAGCTACTTGGAAGGCTGAGGTGGAAGGATCACCTGAGCCCAGCAGGTCTAGGCTGCGATAGCCTAGTGAGTGTGCCACTGCACTCCAGCCTGGGCGACAGAGTGACTCCAACTCAAAATAATCATCATCATAATAATAATCTATCCAATAACTATCCAATTATCAGTTTATTGACTAGTTGATACTTTTCACATTGATTTGCATTCCAATGCTATCATATACTAAAATCTCACACATGTGGGTTTGTTTTTGGACTTTCTATTCTATTCCATTGACCCGAGTAATCTTGTACAATGCCACATGTTTCAATTATAGTTGATGTTCTGATATATACTGATCAAACAAGTCTCCCATTCCATGTCTATTCTTGAAAGCATATTCTCAACCATTCTTATGTATTTTCTCTGTAAGATGATTTAAGAAGCTCTCAAATTCTGTAAAATATCCCATTGATATTTTGGTTGCAACCCCATAATTTATTAAAGAGCCTGAGACCCTTAGAAAGTTCACTTTCTCCAAGCTTTTTCTCCTCTATAATAGGGGAGTGCTCATCGCTACTCTCAGTTCTAGGACAAGGCAAGAAAAAGCACCATTAATTGAAAAATTAGGTGGGGGTGGAAATATAAGCTATAAGGCATGCATTTTGGTATTATGTTAGGGAATTCAAAGATCGAAGGCAAGGGGTCCAAAAGGCAAAGGAGCTGAAATGGAAAAGGCACCGATAAGGGGGGTCAGGTGGACAGGGTGCTGGGTGGTTAGTACGCAGCTCATTAGCCAGATTGCCCTGGCTGCAGTTGAAGACAGGAGAAGCAGATGTTTGCAGCTGTAACTAGCCTCTCCCAGTTCCAGCCGTGACAGATGGGGGAGAACCAGCTGCCTGGGATCAGCAATAAGGATTCCTTCACTTATTACTCAGGCGCTGCTGGCTGCCACATGGGTGCATGCTGAGCCTGAACGTCTGCATGTGTGTGTTTTGGAAAGATGGGGAGGAGAGGGGACAAGACAGATAGTGGGAACGTGATTGCTGGCTGTACTCTTGCCCTTTTAGTGCACAAGATTGTTCCACCTGAGTTTAGAAAGGGGCCTTGCTGCCACCCCAACCCAATTAGGGACAAGTTATTTGGGTGGAGGCGGCAGGAGCACATGGAAGGCCCATGGGAGCCAGTAGATGGACCTGCAGCCACGGTTGCGGGATGATTAACTGCTTTATGAGATAAGGCACCTATTAGGGTTGGCCTAATCCAGGATTTTCTAAACAGCCCCTCCTGGAGGACACATTATGGTTTAGTCTATTAGCTTTAATTACAGGCCACTATGTGGGAAAGCAGAGAATGAAGCCAGGCTCCTGGGACCCAGAAGAAACGAGAAAGCAAGTAATCCAACCCCAGAACAGAGGCCTGATGGAAGTCTTAAGTACAGTGGTAAGGAAGAAAACATCAAGTGGGGGGTCCAGGACCAGAGTCATATGCTCCAACCACTGAGGTAGCCTCCTGTAGTATGGGGCCAGTTCTGTTGTGAATTGTATGTTTGGTCTCTGTCCCAGTTTTTAGTCAAACAACTCCTAAAACTCTCAGAATCCACAATGTGCTAATGACATGACTGATGGCTGGAGGCTCCCGGCCGGGGATGGAGGTCTGGTTGCCAGAGGAACCTACCTTGTGATTGGAGGGTTGGGACTTTCAGTTCCACCCCCAACCTCTAGGGAGGGGAGAAGGGCTGAAAGTTGAGCTGATCACCAATGGCCAAGGATTGAATCAACTGTGGCTATGTAAAGAAGCCTCCACAGGAACCCAAAAGGACAGGGTTCATAGAGCTTCCAGGTAGCTGGACACAAAGAGGTTCCTGGAGGGTGGCGCACCCCTTTGTAAATACCTTGTCCTATGCATCTTCTTCCATCTGACTTGTGTTGTGAGAATACAGTAGAAACTCAGTTCGGTTTTTCCTACATTATCAGGGGTGATCTCCGGACTTGCCAAATGGAGTCTGAATATGCTCTCTGGGACTCACCCCACAACCACCTCTCTGACACTGGGTCTTAGGAACATCCAAGGAAGGAAGGGACTTGAGGGCAAGTTCTTCCTACTCCAACAGCTGGAATGCATGGTGTGCATGGAGCCTGCCTAGGGAGGTATGAAGACCAAGTCAAGAGATCAAAGACCTCTAGGGTCTAACTCTGGAGGAGTCAAAGGCCCTTTGAAGAACTTTGAGGAAAGCTTTGGATCACTTCTCCAGAAAAACATGTCCACATTTACATATACTGAATTTAGAACACACTTTTATGGGACTCCCGGCCCTCCTACCCCAAACCTGTCTATGCAACTCCATGGGGGTGAATGGCTCTCAGATTAGTATGTTTTTCTGGTGTTTCAGTCCCGAGCAAAGAACTGGTCTCAACCTTCACCCATTCCCAGCACGGCACATTCTGTCCCTGGGGATGTGGGCTCATCTCACTCCCCCGACAAGTATCTACTAGTATTCACAATTATTTGCCAGGGGAGCCAGGCCATTGAGACATTCAACTTGGGGTGAAGTCCGATCCCCCCCTTTACGTCCCATTCAGGAGGCTCTGACTCAGCCTCCCCCCCTCAGGAGACACTTCCAGTTTTTCCTGCTCTTTTCTCTGTTCCTCCACCTACTTGTCTGCCCCATTTCCCACTGGTCTTCATCCTTGAGCCTTCCCAGATCCTTCACTCCCCTGTCACTTACCCCATCCTCTGGGGGATCCAGTAGCCAGCCCAACTCGCCCTGTGCGGTGCTCGTGTCCATCAGAGTCACTGAAGGTGGGGAGGAAAGAAGCCTGTCACCTCTGGGGGAGAAGGTGCCTGCGCAACCCACATTCCTCATCCTGTTCCTAACAGCTGTGACTTCCAGAGGCTTAGGGGAGGGAAGAGGCCCAGGCATGAGGAGTAGAGAGCTCCAGAGATTTCACTGATTCCAGTGTGAAGGGAGGAAGGCAGAGTGGGGCAAGGGTTGGAGTACTCGATCTTTGACCAAAGTCAATGCAGTAAGCATGAGGAACAGCAGCCCCACAAGACTTTCAGTCACAGGAGCCGGTGCGGCCTGGGGCACCCGTGAGCTGCAGGACACGGACCGGCAGGGACAGGCGCTCACCTCGGCAAGTCACCAGTGGGTAGTGGTGACAAGGGGCCTCGGAAGGGGGTTCCTGTGTGGGGAGGCTCACTTCCACAGTCAGAGGGTCTGCTCTACCCAGCGACCAGGGCTACAAAGTTGGGACAGAGGCACAGCCCCAGCCTGGGAAGTGGGAGAAACTGGGCCCAGAGGGTGTGCAAGCTTTCACGTGGAAGGTTGGACCCCTACAACAGGGCACCCCTGCAGCGCCAGTCCTAACCTTTCGTCAGTGGTGGGTCCCTCTGTCCCTGGCCTAGGTTAGCAAGAGGCAACTTCCCAGCGCTCAGATCTCTAGGGTGGGCACCTGAGGCAGGGACTGCCTGGCAAAAGCGGGGCCCCAAGACGGCTGGGGTAAGGTTGCAGGCGCCGCTCTCACCCCCTGGCACAAAGTGCCGGCCTGCAGGCCTGAGGGTGACTGACCGAGAGAGCAGCGGTTTGGAGGTAAAGACCAAAGATGGGCCTGGCCAGTCGATGGCCCGGCGGCGGGCAGAACAAGGGAACTGGAGGGGCGCGGGGAGGAGGGCCTCAGGAGCGCCGGCTCCCGCGGAGGG